TGAAGAGCCGGTGTGGAATTTCTCATGATTGTCAGAGTCAGAAATAAACAAACTTCCAAAAAGTTAACAGTACATTGTTGGAAACATTCAGAAGTTGCAAGTTTGGTTTTACCTATGTTTACTTAACCTACCTCAGCAATTAATAAAGATGTTTGACTAAGAATATCTTACAGTTTGGAAGAGAACATGGTGTTATTCAGGTTACGGATTCGCAAATATTTGTCAATTATTTGATACAAACTATTAAGTACCTATGACAATAGGAAGAATATAAAAGTAGACTTCATGACGAAGCAACTTCAGCTATTTGCTTAGCTTAGTTTTGTGTCATTCAGACATCTTTTAAAGATTTATTTTACTAGTCCTGATATAAAAATGTAGTAGTGCATTTTATTGTATTGAAACTATGTCATGTAAAATAACTATTGGGCTGTATTGATACAGTTTTGCCCTATTTTACTTTCTAATAAATAAAAATGGAAAATACATTTTTTGACACAGAGAACTGTATTAAAATAAGGTCCATTAAGTCTATAGAAAATATCCCAGGGAATTTCAGTACTTACTTCAAAACTATTTTTGAAGTGATTATTATCTGAAACAAAATTACACAAGGGGAATTTTTAAGATATCACTCATAAGAAGAAGAAAAGAAACAAAGTAACTGCATTGCTTATTTTTGTAAACAAACAGTAGCATTATGGCACTGTTGTTATTGTTACTATTGTTACTAAAGCTGCAGAAAGAATTTAACTTCCTTTTCAATCCTAGAATATTTCTTTTGCTAAAACCTCTTAACTTGCAAATTTTATGAATCAGACCCTGTACTACTACTAGCCCTAAAGGGGAAAAAAAGTACATATTTATTTGTAAAGCATCAGCAGCAAAATTCTGTTAATTTAAACTTTTCACCAACATGCTTAATTTCTCTTGTGCAAGGAGTAAGAATCCATGATGGCCAGCAGAGTTATGGAGAGGTATAATGAATGAATGTTTTTTTTTATAACCTAGATGTAACCATATTTCCCTTTATTTTTCTATCTTTTGATTTATTTACTTATTATTTCTTACTTCTATTCTGTACCTTCTGTAATTTTGCTTTAGAAAGAACAGTGTGATGGATATCTGTGGATATAAGCCTATGTTCTGGACATAGATACTCACTAATATCAGCATAAAATGAAAGTTTAGACTTCCAAAGAGTTTTCCTACAGGCCATATTGTAGGATAGTTGTAAATAACTTGGATTAGAGTTAATGTCCAGGCTTTTTGCCTTCTGGTATCTTTTCTGCTTTATGCACCATATTGCTCCCATTGATGATAATGATACTTTGATAGCTGGAAGTGCAAAAGATCTGCAAGCTCCAGTAATAAAAGTCAAGGAACACAATGAAAAAGTGGAAATAAATTAAATATAAAGAACATTAAACTAATGATAACAAGTAGACCAACCAGCAGTAGATCTGGCGATAAAGATACTAAAGTGGTAGATAGATTCTGACTTTTACCATCAACCATCAACACTACAGAAACAAGCAGTCAAGAAATACAGAGTAGCAACAGGGATCTTCAAACGTGGCCCTTTTATGACTTGTGGACTTCAACTCCCAGAAGTTGAAATCCACGAGTCATAAAAGGGCCATGTTTGAAGACTTCTGGACTAGCACATGTCAGAATGGCCATGGGAAAAAATATACACCGATGCCATGATGAATTTATACCTAGAAAGATCAGAATAGTGACCTCCATGACACTCTATGGAAGTGAAAGTTTGACCTTCAAGAAGCTGGAGAGAAAGAATATTGATGCTTCTGAAATTTGTTGTTAAAGAAAACATCTGAGAATACCCTCAACATCCTAGAAAATGAAGCAATGGATCACTGAACACATAAACCCACTCAAAGGCCAAATGACCAGGCTATATTATAATACTTTATAACATTATGCAAAAAGAGTCCTGACACTCTCTAATGCTGGTAAAGGTGGATCAACTCAATTACAGAGTTGACTAAGCACCATTGGAAAACTTGGAAGACATTGAGAAAATCTACCTATGTGGTCTCTAAGAGTTGACACCAACCTGATGGCACATAGTAATAGAATCTATCAATAATAACAGAACTGAGTCAGAATTAAACACTTTCAACTTTTGACAAAGTGAAGGAATTCTTAAGCTATGTTAACAAAACACGAGTTAAACACCTATATTTTGTAGGAAACAATAATTCTATAAAGTAATAATAAGTCAGCAGACTGTGAAATGTCAGTTTAATGATCCTAAAAGTATAAAAAATCCTTGACTGCCAATAGTTCATGCTATACAGGTGAACAAGAGTCAATATACATACTGCTTATTTCTATAATGCTTATCTACCTATGAATACTATAGGAAAAAATGCAAAGATAGGACAAGAAAAACTGAAAATTAACCAAATTAAATATATCACCAGTGATCTGATGTATCAGTGAAAGCTGCTGATTGTTGTTACTGGTATTATTACTGCTATTACTTAAAAGTATTGTCATTATTTCAAAAATAATTTCATTCCCTAAATTTTGCAGTTATAAAATTGAGATTTATATATTTTTTCTAATGCATTCTTCATCATGATTATATATATAGAGTCTCCAGCTTTGATCAAAATCAGTATGCCTTTAATAGCATTGAAAAATAGATATATAGGCAAGAAAGCAAAATGGGCCCTCTTTCACTTCAGTCTGGCAAATTAAACTGATTGGGTTATAAAAATGTGATTAATTACAAAGCAGTACATCAATACCTTTTGATCCCTTTTCCAATACATGTTTTTCCCCACTCCTGCTTTTTTCCTCAAGAATAGGGAGATGAAAGCATTTATCAGATTTACAAAGACTTATTGTATCAGATGCAAGACTACTCATAAAAAGTGTATAATTTAATTTAAAACATTAGTATCAGCACGTCTGCTGAATTAGAAATGCTACTACTGGCATTTTACTATTCCACTTAATTTGGTAAAAGAGCATTTTTATATATAAATTATGGAGCCTTGAAGTACATTAAAATAAGAATATTGACTATAGTGTTACAATTATGTGTTGATTATATCTTGGGAAAAAATAGGACTATTATTGCAAGGAAAACAATAATATGTACTAATTTTATCACAACAAGACAGATTACACTGATGTGTTTTGAAGGATTTTCTTTAAAAATCTTACATCAATTGAAGTACTTATCTTTTGTGGGGTGAGTGCTCTGGCTTAAATTAATAAAGTTAAGGGCCAGAAGAATCAAATAACCAGCAATGTTATTCAGCAGAGTGTAACAAACAACAAATTGGAACTATGATTTTTTGCTTGATTACAGACTCACTACTTCTATCACTATTATAAAGCCATAATAACTCATTTTAGTGTTGATTTAATAGTTATCAAGGAGGGGGAAAAAAAGGACAGCACTTTTACCTCCTAACACCATAATCCTAAACCAGTTCAACTGTGTACAAAATTGCAGTCTTTATTTCTTAGAGGCAATTATTTGGCAGCCTACACAAGCAACATTCTCTTCTAAACGTAATAGCAGCATTTATGTTGTAGGACAGTGTTTCCCAAACTTGACAATTTTAAGGCAATTCTGGGAGTTGAAGTCCACATGCCTTAAAATTGTCAAGTTTGGGAAACACTGTTGTAGGATCAGTAGCTTGATAAATGCATCAACGTAATGGAGCACGGAAGGAATGGGGAAACCTCACAGCAGGAAGAGGAAGTAAAACAAAATATTTCCACTCGGTTTTCCTTATTGCAGCTGTTCTCCCTAGTTCCATAAAAATCAATGAATTGGTGAAACTGATTAAACCACATGCAGTTCTGGTTAGCTTCTCTCATAAAGGAAGCTTTTATATGTTTGTCTATAAAATGCTACCCAAGCATATTTGTGCCTAGAGACTACAGACACATGATAAGAGTTGGGTTGTTGAAACTAAACAGAGCTTGCCCTGTAAGATAACTGCTGAATGGGAGACTACTGGGGTTCTGCAGAGGAAAAAAACAAAACATTATTTGCTGGTGGGATTAAAATGGGCAATGAAATGCAAAACCAATTGAAAAATGTATATGCTGTCTTAAAAAAACAGAACAATAACAGAACAAAAAAACAGCTTGATGAAGAGAGAACATATACATAAAGGAACTTTCAACAATAGTATAGGCAACGCCAAACATTCTTCAGAAGAAAAAGAAATAAACTTATATAAAAATGTATTGATAAAGGGAATCCAAAGTCATTGACATTTGGGTGGCTTTACATTCTGGAATAGTGTGGTATATTTTGTTGTAATTAATCTTTTCTAGTCTTGTTCCCAATCTGTTATAGAGGATCATCTTTAGTAAGATTTTTGAATTAATTATTTTGTAGTGATGTTTTGTTCACTTTTCTGCTTACTCTGCTGAGTGGTCTGTGGTTTTCAGGCCCAAACACCTCCACTATTATCAGAACAATTCACATTTTCTGAACAAAAGAGATGCAAAAACAAATGTTTTTCTGAAACAAAAACAATGCATCCAATTTAAGAGTTTTACAAACCTTGGAGCATAGGTGTGAATGTGGCATTCACTTTATTATTTTCAGTGAGTGTTTTTTTTTATTAACACTATTTTTCTGTAGATGAGAAAGGAATTTCTCACCTGGTATAAAACTTGAGGAAGAATAATTAGTATGCCTAAAGAAAAAGATAATTGTGAGTGTAAGAATTTTCCTCTAAAAAAGAAAATAACAAATTTGGTAGTTATATTTTTCAAAGCACTTAATTCATATATGTGTATATGTATATGTATATGTGTGTGTGTCTGTCTGTTTACAAACACACACACACACACACACACACACACACATACAGACACAATGTTTCAGGAAAGTGGGTTTTCAGAAATCTACATGCAAATTTCATCATTTTTTAAACTTTCCAAGATCTACAAATTCACAGTATCTAAGGAACTACCTGGAGAAGGTAATATCTTACCTTTCACTATCAGGTTTCCAGTGCTGCTGGCTATGCCAAAATGATTTGTTGCTATACAAGTGTAACTCCCAGCATCTGCTTTGGTAACATTGACTATTTTTAGAGTTCCATCTTCCAAAATAGTATGTCTGTAAATGGATAAATGCAACAAATAGAATAAATGATGTAGTTTAAAACAGTTTAAACAACTAAGGAATGATTGGCATTTTTATGAAAGTTGATTTGAAAGAATTTTCTAAAGGCTACAAAGCATCATTATCAAATACCACTTACATAAGTTATCTCTGTATTGACTTGACAGCTCTATATAATGCACAAGCCACTAGAAAAATTGAGACACTATCAATTAATTAATTTGAAATTGTTCTATTATAATGGAGAAGAATAGCTTACTTAGTGATACTTAATTTTGGTTGAGTAGTTCCAATTATTACAGCAAATTTCTAATGCACATAGAGCAGGGGTCTTCAAACTCAGCCCTTTTATGATTCATGGACTTCAATTCCCAGAATTCCTCAGCCAGGGTGCCTGGTTGAGGAATTCTGGGAGTTGAAGTCCACGAGTCATAAAAGGGCCGAGTTTGAAGACCCCTGACAAAGAGTGTGGTTGGCTTTAAAGATCATGTTTAACAACATAATCATGTTGCATGAGTCAACAGTCCAATTCTTTTTAACATTCTATAATTCATAAGCACTTTCTTCCTACACTGTGACTTCCAGTTCATAGGGCAATCAATTAAATCACCCAAAAGTAGAAGTAGCATTGATATTTATGATATTGTTGGATTAAAGGACTTCAGCTTCTGAGATTTGAGAGACAAAAGATGTCTGCAAATATGATATGATACAACCATGAACCACATTTGTTAGAATAGAAATATAAGACTGAACATTGACTTTCTGGGAACCAGCAAACTGAGACAGACTGAAATAGGTTGCTTCACATGAGAGGAGTATTTGATCTACTGCAGACAAGAAAATAATAGAAGAAGTTGAGTATCCATTATTATTAACAAAAGAGTGTCAAAGTCAGTGATTGGAAACACCCCCCAAATGATAGAATGATTTCAATTCAAGACCAAGTCAAGCCAAAGAAGATCATGATAATCCATGATCTGAACTACAGTTGCACAAGAAACGAAATTTGAACAGTTCTATAATGACTTGCAGCATTTTATTGATACAACATCAAAAACAAATGCCATGCAAAATACAGGTAAGTTTGAAGTGAAACAGCATGTAGAATAATGGGAAAATTTGACATATAAAAAGAATCTGGAAACGGACTAGTAGTGGTCTGCCAAGATCATTCAGAGTTTATGGTAAATGCCTTCTTTCCAAAACCTAAAAGATTACGTTACAGTTGGACACTGTTGAATGGACAACATCAAAATCAAACTGAATATATATTTTGCAAACAAAGATGGAGATTGATTAAATCAATAAGACCTCTGCTGATTGTAGCTCAGATCACAAAGATCTTCTACCAAAATTATTTTTTTCTTGTTACTGCTTACAAAAAAATCATATTTTCACTTCATTCATATTTTAAACTACTAACTGGCGATTTTATCTTTAATCTGGAGAAGGAATCATCCTAATTTTTATTAGTGCTTTGGCAACCTTTGATAAGACCCAAGTTAAAATGTGCGTTTTTCTTTCACTGAAGATTGGATTGTATCTCTAACTATGTATTTTAATAGTAAGATTCATAAGTCAACATAGTGGGATAAATTGTTACTTCTCCTTCCTAACTGATACTTGATTATTTGGCTCAAAAGTCTACACAGCCTCCATAATCTGGTTGAGCCATTCAGACTAAGTGGCATAGGGTTAGGGTTATCAGATGTCTTCCAAAAGGAGCACTTTTTTTTTAGGTCCTCATATTTTGTTGTTAGCCTGAAAATCAAATATTGTAGCTTATTTATAAACAAGAACCTTGTTTGTTTTTCTGAACTGTTTTCACAACACAGTCATTAACAATTTCACGTACTGTGACCTTCTAGATTAACTGCTTTCTTTTCCTTATCAATGACAGCATGGATTTATGTTATTTATTCTCTGATTCCTAGGAATCAACTTCAATCCTTCCCCTTCTATGGTCTCTGATCGTTGTAGTTTGTAGATCCCATGACATGTCCTATGTTTCTGTGGCAAAATATGAAAGGCGTCTTGTCAATTATTGCTAGTATATGTATCTGTCAAAAAGAGATCATGCCAGACAAACTGCATTCTTTGACAAAGTGACTACATTAGTAGACCAGCAAAACTTGAACTTCAGTAAGGCATTTGACAAAGTAGACCACAGCCTACTTCTTGGTATGATAAAAAAAAATGTGGGATAGACCAGATGGATTTATAAGTAGCTGACCAACCACACTCAACACGTAGTCCTTAATGGAGGTTCTGGCTTAGGCTCACTACTCTTCAACATCTTCATAAATGATATAGATGAGGGCATAAAAGGGGAACTCATCAAATTGCAGACAACATCAAGCTGTGGGGAAAAGCCAGCAGTTTAGAAGATAGGCTCAAGATACAGAAAGATCTTGACAGACTTGAACACTGAGCTCTATCCAACAAAATACAATTCACTAATAAGAAATGTAAGGTTTTACACTTAGGCAAGAAAAAAACCAAATGCACAATATAGAATATGTGGAACCTGATTCAATAGTAGTGAGAGTGATCTAGGACTCCTAGTGGACAATGTGCTGCAGTTGCCAAAAAAACCAATGCTGTCCTAGGCTTCATTAACAGAGGGATAGAATCAAGATCACGTAAAGAGTTACTAATGCTTTAAACTGCACTGGTAAGACCACACTTGGAATACTGCATTTAGTCAACATGATACAAAAAAGATGAGACTCTAGAAAGAGTGCAGAGAAGAGCAAAAAAGATGATTAGAGGAATGGAGGATAAAAAAATATAAGGAATGGCTGCAGGAAGAACTGTGTATGTCTGGATAACACAGAGAAAAACTAGCCGTGACTTGAAAGTAGCCTTCTAATATTTGGGGGGTTGCACAGAGAGGAGGGGGTTGACCTATTCTACAAAACATCTGAAGGCAGTTATTTAGTTAACTTCTATTTCTAGATAGAAATGTAATATTGTTAAGTTCTTAATTCAAGTTCTTCAAGTTCTGAATTCTGTTTTTCACCAAACATTATTATATTTCTTTGGAACTAAATCTAATATACATGACCAAATCGTACCACTGAACGAGTCTATTGTATTTCAATAAGTAAATAATATGAAAGCACTTCCATAGGTAGACTAAAACCATTAACAAAATTTGCAGATATGAAATAGAAAATGTATTAAAAACTGCTTAATGTATTATATTTGTTAATACAATCTATAAATATATGTTAATAGTATTTTAGTAAAACATTGAGGAAACTATATAAAATATTCATGTAATAAATATTGATAAAAACAATACAACATCTGATATGATGGGAAGTCTTTTGACCTGTCACATCTTTTCTAATGTTCTTATTAACTTGGTTATCTACATGATTTTTATGTGAATGTATTATTCTGGATACAAGTTTTCTGGTGAAAATTCATTTGCCTATTTGGTAATTTATACAGACCATTTATAGTTTATTTTAATACCAAAGTCTATTTCTAATAGACTTGGTTGAACAAAACTACCCAGTTAATTGAATTTAATTGAGTTGAATAAATTCTGGCTTAGGAAATTAGTAGATAATTAATGAGCATGCACACACCCATAAGCACACATTCCCAAAGGTACATACCTAATGTTATTCAATCTCTTCTTAGTTTTCAGGAGCACAAAGCTATCATTTTGTCAGAAATGTCTGCTAGCGATTTCTTCAAGTTACAAAATGTTCACCACATGCTTTCATTGCTTTTACACAATTTCAAAACAGGTATGTTTTATAGCTTTAATAAATAATAACAACAACAACAACGTTGGAAGGGATCTTGGAGGTCATCTAGTCCAACCCCCTGCTCAGGCAGGAAACCCTATACCATTTCAGACAAATGGTTAATTGTTCTAACTGTCAGGAAATTTCTCCTTTGTTCTAGGTTGCTTCTCTTTTTGGTTAGTTTCCATCCGTTATTAAACCCAATGTAAATGTGGCAGAAGTAAATCTTGCAACAAGAAATCATTAGGTTCCACTGAGTTAAGTCCATCTTGTTTGATAATAACTCGTAGCACTTCAAAGAATATTCCAGTAATCTCTGTCAGGCTTTATCCAGGCATAGCAATAAATCTCTGCTCAAAACTCAACTCTATATTCATTGATTAGTTAACAGCCAACAGTGCAAAATAGGTTGCTTTATTGTAGACAAGAAGAAAGTAATATTATACAGTGTAGAGCAGTAGATATGGCCTTCAAGGGAATATTCAGAAGCCATTATAGTATCAACATGGGCAAAAGCATTCCTTAAATTCTGGGAAAGAAATAGTATTGGGAAAAGGGTTAAACAGGTTTCTTCCTGAAATAAAGAAATATAAGAGGCAGGGAAGCAAAATACAAAGAATTTTCAGTAAAGTTTTTCAATAAAATATTGCTATAGCCTTAGAGTGGAGTTGCTTTCTCTACCGACATACTGTATTAGCAGAAGCTTTGCATGATAAAAGAAACAAACATGAAATGATATATTTATGTGTGTGTGAATACCAGAATTAATATTCCTTCTTTTTCCTCCTGCCCTTTCAAGTCAACATCTCCACAAGAAAACAGAGCAGCTGGTTGGTTGATTCCTAACGTAGTTGCTTTTTTGCAGTCTGAATTGCCCCCTACATTGTCCCTTTCTCTTTTCTATTAAATAATCCTTATTTATGAAAGACATTTGGAAGTAGGACTCTGAAGTTAATATGGGTAATATATATATTTAAGGTGAAGTAGAATTGATGGATATAGTAACATCCTCACAGCAAGTCCCAGGTAAGAATGTGTAATTCTTAGTGGACAATCACTTAAACATGAGCCAGCAGTGTGCTGAAGCTGCATTAACAGAGGGATAGAATCAAGATCACATGAAGTGTTAATACCACTTTACAATGCCTTGGTAAGGCCACACTTGGAATACTGCATACAGTTTTGGTCACCACAATGTAAAAAAGATGTTGAGACTCTAGAACAGGG